GTCTATCTCCCAACTGACCATCACATACAAATTCATTAATTCCTTTAATTTATTTGTAAACTTGATAGTACATGTACACAATACATGTAGATGATTCGATTTAATAATGATAGCAATAGCGATAGTGGATTTCTCCGTATCGGTATGGTATCGTTATTTTTCGATTTACACAATCACTTCCACATATCGATATTGATCGAATTTCTCCAGTTGCGACCTTTTGGGAATAAACGGCAGAAGACGAATTAAGGAGATCGCCAACGCCGGATGCATGTGTCAACAATGTCCAAATCTGGAGCAAATTTCCATCTCGGATGTCAACATGTGGTCTCCTTTCACAGCATAACACTGCAAATTCCCATCGACGTACTGACAAAACAAATAAAATTTTTTCGGTATAGATACAGCATGGATCTTCATCGATTCTCATTTTCATCATTTTGCTGCAATTGACATCATTTACAGCACCTTCTCATCAATTTTCAACCCGTTTTTCATCGAATTCTTTATTAAGGAGAACATAACGTTCTCTTAGATAGTATACTACTATTTACAAACTTTATATTTACTGCAGTTAATGTAACAAATGGTAATGACAAAAAAAATGTATAAAAAGAACAGCCTTCGGGCTACTAATAAAAACAGATTTGAATTGTGTACAATAAATTTTTTAGTTACTGGCTGACTACCGAACACGAAATAAAATAAAGAAATTCAATTGGTAACACATGACCAATTGTATTTATGATTTATAAACTTGTTTTGACTTTTCTCCTTTACTTAGAAAGCAGTAAATTGTTTTGTCTCTTAAAAGCAAGTATATTAGAATAGGCAAGTAGAAATAAAATTTTATAGACTAATAAAAAATCATAGAAGTCCTCTAAATCATATCATCATTTATAATTTTCTATATATTTATTCATTATAGAGAAAGTAAAAGCTACGTGCATGGTACCAGCAACGTCAAGCGATCAAATATTTATTCATTATTTGAAATACTTTCCGAGGTAAGTTTAGTACCTGATTGTTAATTAAATTATATCAAATAATATTTACAAATATACAATAATGAAAAATAATATGCTTAAAAATTGGCTTGCTTTGCCCAAATGAGTAGAAAGTAAGTTATTTATGTAAGCATCAGTTTAATATAAAATAAATGCTGGTTACTTAACATTCAATAGTATGAAGTTTGATTGCATAAAACTCATATGGTGCATAAAATCTAAAGTCATCAAACGTTTGTATTTTATTAAATGGATAAACTTATTTACTTAGAAGTAATACCAAATTTAATCCGTGAATATGCTCAGAAAAGGCCTATTCTATCATATTCACGGATTAAATTTTGGATTTACTTCTTAGTAAAGAAGTTTATCCATTTAATAAAATACAAACGTTTGATGACTTTAGATTTTATGCACCATATATACTTTGATGTATTGCGAACAGGTTTTCTTAAGACTATTTAATAGCATATCTTATTTCGATTATTCTCAAATATTTGATCTTAATTTTGATATAATGCTATAAATTTAATTGAAAAATTTCTTTTTGGCTTTTTTTAATATTTTAAGCAACTAAGTTGCCTCAAGAAAACTTGTTAGCAATCAAAGTATATATATTTTTATATGTTTTCGATCAATTTTCATGACGTAATAAAAAAAACTACCATTTAGATTAATTGTCTTTGTTTCATTTAAAGTTAACTTGATCGCAATATATGAAACTGTATATCTGAAAATTTTCATATAATTTCGTTTTTTCCTAGCAAAATAGAGAAAACATCATTCTCGTTACGTATACATGTACATGTATATGGCGAGCACTGTAAATTGACAATATTGGATACTTTTGTCGCGTGTACGTGTCATGCATATACATGTACATGTATAGCGATAATGCAATATACATGTACATACTTACATGTATAACATCCGTGCAGTAATTTTATAAAATACATGTATTCTGTATCATTTAAACGCATACACAATATTAAAATAAATACATGTGCAATACAAATAACTTCTATTGGATAATTTAAAAGTAGAATCATAATAAAAGAAGTGGTGCTACTTTAAGTATTACATGTAAATGGAAGCTAAAAATTTAAGACGGATACGTACATGTACTTGCAATATGGTTTAAAGAACTTGTTTTTTGTTAACAACAATTGTTTGCGAAGAAATATTTTTTAAAAATAGATTCATAATGATAATTTTCAGATATTTTTTGTTTGTTACTTTGGCTCTAAATGTTTTTGAAAATGTTAATTCACAATCACCAAGATATGGACATACGGCAAATTTTATAGAACAAGAAAGAAAAATATATTTTATTGGCGGAATAGATCCAAATAGACCTCCCTTTAATATTCTTGTACTGGATGTGCTTGTACTGGATCTTTCAACAAATGTTTCTGTGGAAAGCATTCCCTCCGCTATACCTGTTACTGGCTCGTATACTCCTGTTGCGTTTGGAACTTCTGTTGTTGATGGTGCTAGAATTTTTTATTTTGGCGGTTTCATTTATAATGTAAAAATCAAATTAATTAAAATGAAGTTTTAATTGAATCGGATTTATATTAACATATTAGAAATTTTGATTTATCCAAAGAAAACTACAAATACACATCCATATACAAATACAAATACGATTATCCAATCCAATATCGATATAAACAACAATCAGATCTCATCCAGTATCTTTCCAGCTGAAAATACACCGAGTGCACGATACGGGTTAAATTCAGCTATTGATCAGAACAAAAGATGGCATATTTATGGCGGGTGTGAAGATTCAGATGAGCCAACTTCTGATCAAAATGTACATTATTTTGACTTTTCAACAAAGAAATTTATAACACCAGAAACTTCAAACATAAAAGTCCGGTTCGATTATACAGCGACAGCAATAGGCAGCAATATTATATATATTGGTGGTCAAACAGGAAACAATACTTTCGTAGGAATGGATGAAGTAACTGAAAAATTCTATCTTTTTTTTTTCGAAATCTTAACTAACAAAAATTCGCTAATTACTTATCTATTAAAAGATCTTGATATTTAATTCAGACACCTCGACATGGAAAAAAGCAAAGGTAAGGTAATATGAAATTTATAAAGAGATAAAATATAAGATTTAAACTATTATTTTCGTTACATTTAGAATGTACTTGAATTTGAACAGGTGCCAAGACGTGGTGGTCACACTGCTGTAAAACGTTAGGTCATTTTTAATTTCAAATCTAATTTTATTTTACTTTTTTTTCTAATTTTTTTATTGATTAAAGTAAACAACACTAGCATTTTGATATATGGCGGATTATACGATTCAAAATCAACAACAATGAACATCAGTAATGCTGTTGCATTACTGAGCATTCGAAATTTTGAAGACTTCACTTCCATTTGGTCATTGCCAGTTACCTCATTTCCAGATACACCGTATCAAAATCAACAGATACCCTATTATCATACAGCAACAATCTACCACCGTTATATGATTGTCGCTTATGGTGAGACATTAAAAAAAATGCGTCGTCATGATTGAAAATATATTAAATTTATTAATATTGTGTAGGTAAACCCGCTGACGCAAATACACAACAATCACAAGGATTTAAACAACCGATTATAACTATTCTTGATACTCGTGATATGAAATGGGTTCCAGTTATTAATCAATCGCTAATTGGTACACCTCGTAATACAACAAATGGACCAAATGGAACTACAAATAACCAAGGTACTGAACCTAAGGAAAATAATGGATCTGGAGAAAAGAAAAATAATACTGGGTCAATAGTTGGAGGCGTAACAGCAGGCATAACGATAATATGTATCACCATAATAGTTTGGATTAGATATAAACGAAGACTGACACAAAAAGAATTAGATAATAACCAACATGCACATTTAAATCAAATTGCGTCACCTGCACAAGAATTCAATCAGTTAGCTCAGGTTATTGAAAGTGATCAATTAGCTCAGGTTGTTGAAAGTAATCAGTTAGCTCAGGTTGTTGAAAGTAATCCAATAACAAGAAACAAAAGATTTATGCCCCGTATAAAATTTCATTCACCAATTTCTTTCTCATAAATATGTATTATGTCTATTTTACTACAAGTTCTTAATATAAATATACTGTGCATGTCAGTGTTGTCAAGGTCATACAGTGGCTCACACATGTAACGGAACACGAAAATTAACTTTCTAGAATTTTTATTTCTATGATTATTAGTTTAGACAAAATAAAAGTGTTTATTTGAAATCTTAAAACCTCTAATATTTTTACAAATAATTTAGCAATAGATTATTATTTTGTGAAATAGAGTGATTTAATCAAAATTTACAATTAGTAAATTTCTCACATTGAAGAATTTTTTTCTATGATGAATTCAAATTTGAATCACAAAAAAAATGTCGTCTCTTTCACCCGTACACCTCACGGGTATCTCAAACAACGCCTCACAAAATATCGAAACTCAAAA